TATAGTTATAGTTATAGTTATAGTTATAGTTATAGTTATAGTTATAGTTATAGTTATAGTTATAGTTATAGTTATAGTTATAGTTATAGTTATAGTAAACCAGTGATCTAGTAAGTAAAATGCTTCTCTTAGTTCTGTGACTTGCTCTAGCAAATTCATCAAACCAGAGGGAAGGGTCTTGGGAGCCCCCAGTCTATAGCCAGTGGGTCTTGCAGTAACCTGGACTTGTAATTGACATCTGAACAGGTGGGGACAGCCTTGTAGGACCAAGTCCCTAAACTGCAGAGTCTGATGCTATCTCTGGGTAAATAGGGTCAGAACAGAGTTGAATTATGGGACACCCAGCAGGTATCTGGAGAATTGTTGTTGGTGTGGGGAAACCTCCCACTGCCCAGCCCCCTCTCCAGTGGACTTGGGTTCCAGGAACCCTGTTAGTTTCCCTTTCCAAATAGGAAAGATGGTGGTTAGGAAGTGTAAGGAAGAAAGAACTGGATGATTAGAGCAAGAATAATGACTTGACTACTTTACTTTCAATACCATCCTCAAAAAGGAAGAAGAAAATAGGTACCACACCACTACTGACTAGGGTGACTGAAGGGTGATGGGATGATTTGGGCCTTACACTGTATTCCCTTTTACTTCTTTCCCTTCTGCTGCTGACATTGATATATGAAAGATAGTACTCCTGGTAGTTTTCTTGTTTGCTAAACAAACAAGAACCATAGACATATGAAAAGCAACTGATAAGAAGAGTTCGGACCAGACTAGGTCAGAAGACATGGCTCCAAGTTGCCCCTCCATCCAGCAGGGGCATGGAGGACCTAAGTTTTTCTTTGAGCATTGCTGTTTCTATACTCTGGTGACAAGGACTTAGAGCTGGGTAGAGGTGGGCTTACCCCATAGGTTGAAGGGTGGAGCAGAAATCCTGGGGTGGGGGGAAACTAGGTCAGAGTCCACTGCAGTAGTCTGAGATTCTGACCTCAAGGCAGAGGAGGCAGGGAGGAAGGCCTGCTTTTGAGGTAGCTGGCAGAAGGAGTGGACAGGATTTGTGGACTCGATACAAAGGAACATTGCTTCCGTGGGAAAAGTCATGCAGCATTCCAACTGAAATTCTGCTTCTGAGGGAATTCAGTTCTCTAGTGAGAACAGGGACTCTCACTCTAATGCCAGGTAACCACAATGGGGTGGCACTCCCATAGTTCTGGTGTCAGAAAGGAAGACGGAAGATGAAAGTAGAAGAGGGGTGGTAATGAAGGGTAGTTGGAAGGCAGGCAGGGAGGGACAAGCCCCCTATCCCCTCCAGCCCTCAGAGGAAACCACCCTTGGGATTTTACACCACCGGAAGGAGCCCTCTACCCTTCCCATATGACAGATAGATGACAAAAACCTGATGGGATGACAGGCACGGGTAGGGGTGGTTAATCAGATTAAAATAGCCCTCCAGGGGCACTGGGTGGCTCAGAGTGTTAAGCAGTTAAGAGGCTACCTTCACCTCAGGTCATGGTCCTAGAATCCCCAGGCTGAGCCCCATCTGTCCGGCTCCTTGCTCAGCAGGGAGACTGCTTCTCCCTCTGCCTGCCACTCCCCCTGCATGTGCTCTCTCTCTGTCAAATAAATAAATAAAATCTTTTTTAAAAATTAAATAAAACAGCCCTCCAACAAGCCTATAAAAACCCCTAGACTTGGAAATTCCAGTGGTAACCTTCTAGAGTCGCATCCCTCTTTAGGAGCTTTGTACTATCATTTAATACACCTTGCTTTGCTGCCCACCACTCTTCCCGGCCTACCTCTTCATTCTTTGAAGGGGTTTGACCAAGAACCATGGGCACCGAAGGATAAAAAAAAATTCTGTAACGGGGTTCTAACTGTTCCATGAAGAAGCGAGAGTGCGGCATCCTCGCCATGGCAGTGATGGCAGGTGGAGACCTCCAGCTACTGCAGCAGAGGAGTTGGACTCCTGATTTCTGCTGCTGTTTATATGTCAGGGATGTTCCTGAGTGAGGCATGTGTAAATCAGGAGCTCTCTTCTCTTGGTATGTCTACCTGATTCATATCAGACTGATATCTTGATAGTGATTTGAAAGACTGCTACCCCCCACCTCAAAAAGAGTTGGTTTCTTACTCTTATAACTAATGCAACTTATGACTTAGAAAATGGCAGTTTGCTCCAAGGAGTGAGGTCCAATGTGTGTGTTTGGGGGAAGATCAGTACTGTGGAACATAAGATCATAATTTTAAATACCTTGATAAGTGAAAGAGGGAACAAGCCAAAGAGAGGTAGTTTAGCCTAAATGTGGGATGGTATATTGGAGAGACAAAATAAACTGTTTGAATAGATGATAAAAACTGATTTGGGGGGGGGGGAAGAGGAAAAAAATGCCAGGGTTAGTTCCTCAAAAAAAATTCAGCATAGAATTTACCTCATGATCTAGAAATTCCACTTCCAGTTAAATACCCAGAAGCGCTGAGAGCAGAGACTCTAACAGAGAATTTGCACAACAGTGTTCATAGCAGCATTATTCACAGTAGCCGAAAGGTGGAAAGAGCCCAAATGTCTACCAAATGATGAATGGATAAACAAAGTGTGGAATATACATACAATGGAATATTACTCAGCCTTAAAAAGGAATGAAATTCTGAAACACTGCAACATGGATGAACCTTGAAAACATTACACTAAGTGAAATAAGCCCAACCTAAAAGGAGACAGACTGTACGATTCTACTTAGATAAGGAACCTAG